ATCTTTATATGCTTACCGTAGAATTATGCTATTCCAGAACATATGGTTTTCAGAGCCCTATAAAGCTTGAAAATGATCGCCAATTGATGTGAGCTTCTTTTTTTGGATGATGTAGAATACATCCTCAATAGCTATATTATGTAAGCAAATTTCCTGGTCTCTTTTTTAAATAAACAGTAAAAGATTTGGACATTTTTGTGTTGTTCAATAAATGGTGATTTTATGGCAATGCTCGTTTCGTACTCAGCATCAATGCTTGAATATTATTAAGCTATTTTTTGGCCTGTTTAAGCAAAGCGAACAGAATATTCAATCTAATATACTGTAAAGTTGTTCAATGTTCCATACATGAAGAGGTGCATACCCGTGCGATCAAAAAGCAGTGTGGTGTCTGAGTAACCGGGTTGCTATGCAAATTCTCATTAGCTTACCCCTAATATCCGTTACTTCCGCTCAATATCGCATAAATCACAAATTTAAGGAAATTCTATTTCTTAACAATTTAAGGCAAGATGTCAGGAGATCTAAGTCATATATTCTTGGACTATATGACGTGTGTTTAGAATAGTATGAATGGTCTCGAGAAGCAACAGTTTGTGTGCCTTTCATACACGTTATCAGTGCGATAGCATAGTTATGGCAAGAAGCTTCGTTTCACTCTGCTATTGGTCACTTAGCATAAAAGAAACTTTTTCACTCCTTTAAAGCTCTCTGATCAAGCAATGTCATTCTACAATTTTCTTCTTTTTCTGAATTACTTTTGAAACAATTTCTTGAGATTTAATCCAATATATTCCAGACTAATAAGATTTTCTCCATTCTTGTAGCTATTAATTTGACAAATACAGCTTTTCCTCCTTTTAATGACATTTACAAAAAATTTTTCAATGAAATACCCCTTCATAGCAAATATAAATGATGATTATGCTTGTGTTTATGTGACATTATGTTTGTACATATGACGCTATTCACAGCACGTATAAATATACATACATTGCTATAAAGGGAAGTCTAGCACCTGCATGAAATAGTTTTAACGATTTCATCGGTCCAATGTTTCCAGACTTACCGATCTTTTCCACCTGCGTACCACATGCATTGCATTTTCTATTAAATGTCTATACAGTAATTTTCGCTAATTGATTGTTTGAATTTTTTAGATTGATACAGTTGGTGATGTGTTGTAACTGAAGCAGCAAAAAATAAGATTCATACGTTAATCGAAAAATCTTTTATTACTTGATACAATCGCCTTCATCCTAAGTTTTCGTGTACGAAAATTAGGTGCTGCAATAACAATTTGGTAAATCGCTTATTTTTAAATCGATTTTTCTTGAACTAACAAACCATAAATCCCCTGTTATCCTTTGCGTTTGCTCAATATCCACAATTTTTGCTGTAGAACAGAAAAGAGCAGTGAACTAGCTTTGTCCTCCCCGTACAACAAAAAAAGAAATCCTACATAGCCGTTCTCATTCCGTAATCCCCTTAGCAACAGTCTAATTCATGTTCATATTCACAAGTCGATAAAAATAACTCATTTGCCACTCAATATTGCGTTCTATTTCATCAAACAATCATCTGATTTCTGCTGCCCCTAATAGAGTTGTGCGATCTTTTGTTCTCTCTTTTCATAGGACTAATGTAAACTTATTCCTATTCTCATTTATAAACATGTATAGTATGCGTTCCAATGGCGATTAATCCTTTTATTGCTTTCAAATCTCGGAATGCCCTTTTCTACTGCCCCTACAACTCTATTAATTGTTCTAAGGAAAATTTCTTTTCACATACAATACAGCCCATAATTCGGGTGAAAAAAACGGGTGGCGACGGATTAATCCGTCGCGACGGATTAATCGTGATAAAACCGTCGCGAACTCAT